TTTTTCTTATTTTTGACAATGTTGTGCGATGATGGATAATCAATCATGTTGATCATTTCGGGTAATAACATGGATGATGATTTAAGTTTGTAAATTTTATTTTATTTTAAAGTTTTTTTCCAGTTTAAAATTCAAACTTTTTGACAAGCAAAAAAAATTGTCACTTTATTTGTGAATAATTGGCGTGTATGGCAATTATTTGTTCAGCGAATTCGCTTCAAAAAATCGATTTGACAAACGAAAATAAAAAGGTCTAAGCCGACAATAATGATGACGATGTTGTTTGGAACATTATTTTTTTGAAACAAAAATCCAATCTTTTTTTATTTATAAAATACAAAAACTTTAATGATGTTTGTCTCTCTGTGTGTTTGTCTGTGTGTGTGTGTGATAATGATTTTTGATTTTTAATTAATCTTTTTCTATGTGTTTGTTTGTAACGCGTTTTATTTATTATTAACCAAAACAAAATTGTTTGTTTTGATTTGATCAGAATGTGATGGCTACTTCTGATCATCATCAACATTATTCATCAGAATTAATGTTTTTTTTCTGTGTTTAGTTTGGTTGTTGATGATGGTGATGACGAAAAGCAATTAAATTGGAATTTTTGGGTAGAAAAAGCTTTGCGACATTGTTGTTGTTGTTGTGGATGTTGTTGTTGATCCAATATCGACATTTTGAATGATTTATTTATTTTGTTTTTTTGGCCTGTTTCTTGGAATTATCTTTAATTAAATTTTACAATCTTTGTAGGCAAGAAAAATATAAAAAAGTCTTTGGAACTAGAACAAGCAAAATGATGTAATCAATAATATCTTCTTCTGGTTGTTGAAAATGAGAAAACATATTTTATCATTTTTTCTTTTTGAACAAAGTTTTTACCAAACTACAACATTCACTGACTTTTTTTTCTCATCATTATTAATCTTAATTCAGAAATTTTTTCGGTAATTTTGTTTCTCTCTCTCTTTGGATGCTATTTTAAGAAAGATTCTTCTTCTTTGATTTTTTCCATAGGATTCATTAATCTTCACAAAAAAAAATCATCAACCCAAAATCTTATTGAAGGTTTTTTACTTTTTTAATAAATAATGATTTACTGATGCGATGTTTTTCGTTTGTTCGCAAACTCAAAGAACTTAATGAAAAAAAACAACAATTCTTTCAACACTTTTTTCGTTTTGGAAAATGAAAATTTATTTATTTGTTCAATCAACCATCATCAACAACATCCACAACAACAACAACAACAACAACAACAACAACTCGTTCGTTGCATCTGTTCAAAGACCAAAAATTTGTATATTTAAATCGTGAAACGAAAAAGATTTTATGATCTTTATTTACAAACAAACACGCACACCACACACACACAAACACATTTCCTTCCTATTTACAGAAATTTTCTTTGATGAACACTTGGTTGGTTCATATTCATATTTTTTTTTCAGGAAAACTTTCCTTAAAAAAAAGTTTTTTCTTCTTTTTTTTCATCTTTTTATTAATAATATTCTTTCTTAAAAAACTATGATGATATCATCATCTTTATATATAGAAATTATTATAATTTACTTTCGTCTTTCTTTTTTTTATTAATAATAATCATTAAGCAACGATGATGATGATGTGCGAAAAGCGAACAAGTTAGTCATTATTAGTGGAAGAAAATTTTTGATTTCAAACTATCATGATCGCAAGCAAACTATCTTGATCATTGTTGACAGCTGTTGTAACTTTTATTTTTTTGCAATGGATATTCCCCATAACCATATACATGAATTATAAAAAAATTACTTTTCGGCTGTATTCATGCATCTAGGCCAAAGAGTTTTTTGTTTGTTTGCGGAATTCCAGAATGTCGTGTGTTGCTTCGTTTTTGGATGTTTTTGTGTTATGTATATCAAAAGCAAGCAAGCAAGTGAGTGAAAGCGGAAAAACTATTCTAGCGGAAAAAAAATTGGAGGTATATTTTTGGTGGTCTATCTGCTGCATGCATATACTGGAATTTTTCATTCATTCTAATTCCCATTCAGTCTCTTTTTCTCTGTAGCATCATGTGATGCGCACAATATTATTATTATTAACCGTAAGGTTTCCTTCGATATTCATTTTGTTCATCGTTCAATTCATGTCCGTTATATTTCGATTTGTTGAATAATGTGTGTGTGTGTGATCCAATAATGAAAAAAAAATAACAGAATTTTTTGCTTGTTTGCTTGTGGAATTTATTATTATTATTTTCTCTCTCTTTCTCTCTCTCTCTCTCTCTCTCTCTCTCCACCAAAATGAATGAACCAAAAAAAAAGAAAAAAAATTGGTACATTTTTTTTCGTTGTTTCAATGATGAATTTATTTTCATTTAAATAGTGTATTTCGATATGGAAATGAAAAACAACGAAAATTATAATTAATTATTTTGTTGTTTGGGATTTCAAACGTCTATGATTTAAACCATTTTTTTCATTACATTTACATTTACATTATTTTATATTAATCATATAATTTTTCTGATCTTCATTATAATAATAATAATAATAATAAATATTTTTTCATTATTAATCCAATTATTTTAATTTACAATGATTTTTATTTACCCAGACACACACACGATAATATTACCTTTTTTTGTTTTCATTTCATTTTTTTGTTACATAATCAATATCGCTTATTTATTGATCCATTTAAATTTTCTATATGTTTTCGGTTTGTATGTAAATAGACCGAAACGTGGTTATACTTCGTATTTTTTATCCTGAGGAAATCAAAAAATGAAGAAAAAGAAAAAAAAACTGTCAATTTTATATCAAGGAAAAGTTTTTCATTGTACTAAAATTCTTAACAATTCACACTTTTTTTCATCATTATAATTCTTTTGTTATAATCCAGTCTAACGTTTTAAAAACGCGTTGATTACGCGTTTTTTTATAAATATTCTATGTTCTTGTCGTTGTCTAGACTTTTTCGTTCATTTTTCGCACTGTATAATACATGTGACATTCATTCATGTCATCATCATTCAACAATCAAGCGACAATCAACCAACGAAAAAGACAATTCTGTCATTCTAATAATAATAATATTCTTTTGGCTTATTTTTTTCAAAAATTTTCTTGATTCTTGGCTTCATTCTCTCTCTCACTCTCTAGGCTCATTTCTGGATTCATATTAACTTTTTTTGTTTTGTTTTGAGTTTAAATGATAATGATGATGATGATTCAACTCATTTCTCTCTATCTATTTATATTCGAATAAACAACAATCACAATTAAAAAAGAATTTCCTCTTCCTTATTCTTTAATTCTTTTCTATCAAATATGATGATCTCTATATATCTCTACAGTTAACAAAACAAAACGTTTGTCAAACGATTTTTGTTTGTTTGTTTGCGAGTGTGTATATTTGAGTGAGTGAATGAGTGAGTGCATTCCATATTTTTTTTCATTTCTTCTTCATCAGTTTTTTTCCCCCTTAAATTTTCTCTCAAGAGACACACACACACACACACACAAGAATTCGTAATAATAATCATCATCAGTGATGATGATGATGATGATAATGGAAATATGATTAAAGCAATTGCAATGTTAATGTTTTTGAAATGAATATAGAACTGAATTGAACTGAACTGAATGAAAAGAAAAGAAATTCTCTAATTTCATCATGATGATGATGATAAAAATACTTGACTTTTTTTCGTTTTATTTTGTATTGGTTTGAATTCTAAATTATTCTGAATTTTTATCTTTTTATATAATATTCCTGCATATAATAATAATACATTAACAAAATTCAAGTGGTTTTTCTTCTGCTTCTTCTGCTTCTATTTTCCCGAAATAAACTACTTTTTTTTCATTCACGTGGAATTTTTTTCTTCCTGAAGTTTTCTTGATTTCTTTTTATCGTCTTCATCATCATTTTTTTCATATATTCAAATTCATCATCAATTCTTTTTTCTTGTTTGTTCGTTCGTTATATTCGTTCGTTCGTTTTTTCTTCCATTTTCTAACATGGAACATTAACTTTCAAGATTTTTCTCCATATTTTTGTGGTTCACATATGATAATAATATTTTGTGTGTTGAAAATAATAATGTCATCATCGAATCTCTCTAACTTTTTGTTGATTTTGCCATAAGAAAGAAAAAGGTTCCTATTTTTATTTTTATATGTATGATCTTTGCTGGGTTTTTTTTTGATTCGGTTTGCTTGGTTGGTTGGTTTTTTCTTGTTCGTCACAAGAATCATGTCATTACACACAATTATTATATTCGAAGAAAGAAGAAAAAAATGTTCGTTTCGTTTCGCTCTGTTCATTCATTCATGCATAATTATAGCCCCTGTAATAAAGAATAAAAAGTTGAAGAAGAAGTAGAAAATAAACTGATTTGAAAAATTGAATTACGATTCTTCAACATTGAATTCATTCGTAATTAACCTTTATAGATAGATTCTTGATTCTTTTTTTAGATTCTTGATTCATTTTTCATAAGAATACAATGAGGTCTTGATCAGAATTCAGTGACAAAGATAAAGATGCCACAGATGTTTGTTTGTTTGTTAATGTTTGTAATTTTGTTTGATAGTTGGTTATCATTTTTTTTTCATTTTTCAAATGAAATTTTCCTCACCAAATTCTCTTTATTTAATTTGAATTTATGATTAATTTCTCTTTCTGTTTTTCTCTCCCCCTCAAACAGCAGCAGCAGAATAACTCGACAACGACATTTGTGAAATAAATAACTTCGTCCAAATTCTTTGTTTAAATTGTTGTATTTTTTGTTTGTTTGTTTGTTTATAATTATTATTATTGTTATAAATTTTTTACTTGTTTTATAAATCAACAACAACGACGATACTTTTTTTTGACTGAAAAATTATAACAAATTAACTAAAAAAATGAATGTAGTACAAACAACAGCAAACGAAATGGCCAATAATA